TCGGGGGTGGCGGAGGGGCCCCGCCAGCATCAGGCCGGACTTCCGTGGCGGGTCGAAGCAAAGATCGATGAAAAACAGGATGAATCCGCATGCCGCGCGGAAGCTTTAGCTTAAAGGTCACAGGATTTAATTGGTCCACCACTGGATATGGCCCCACAAAACGAGCGTCAAGCTTTCGAGAGGGGCGTTGTATAGGCAGGTGTTTAGTGGACAGCCAAACACGATCTCCCACTTGGATCGGTGGACCCGGCTGTCGATGGGTATCAGCCACTCGTTTGTAATCTTCTTTTGCCTGCTCAAGCTGAGCCTTTAAGATCTCTTGAATCGCTGAGAGCTCCTGCAGCCAAGTGGTAGCAGCCGGGACTTCCCCTGACCCAACCACGGAGGGAAAGAACCGGGGGTGATATCCATAGTTAGCAAAGAACGGGGCTTCTTTGGTCGATCCGTGAGTAGCGTTGTTATAAGCAAACTCGGCTACAGCAAGAAGCGATGACCAATTGTCCTGTTGATAGTTCACAAAACATCTCAAATATTGTTCAAGGGTGGCGTTGGTCTTCTCGGTCTGGCCATCGGATTGTGGATGGTGCGCTGACGACATCCGACTCTCGATGCCCAACTGCCGCTGTATCTCCTTCCAAAAGTGCAAGGTAAATTGGGCACCGCGATCGGTTACCAAACTCGTTGGAAGTCCATGAAGACGGAAAATGTGGCTTAGGAATAAATCGGCAGTTTCTTTGGCAGTAGGCACTCCCCCACAGGGAATGAAATGTCCCATCTTGGTAAAAAGATCCACCACCACCAAAATGGTGGTGAAACGTTGGGATTCCGGTAAATCCGTGATGAAGTCGGCCGACACGATTTCCCAGGGCCGACTCGGAGTGGGTAGAGGTTGTAGCAAACCAGCCGGTTTGCCCAAAGGTTCTTGGCGCGGTGGCAAACAGGGCAACCATTGACATATTTTTCGACCTCTCGTCGGATCTTGGGCCACCAAAAGTCTCTCAGCACCAGCTGCATGGTTTTAAAGATCCCAAAATGCCCCGCTGGCTTGGTGTCATGGCATAGTCTTAAAATTTCCTCCCGCTCGGGGCCGGGCGGCACATAAACCTTTGAACGATGACACAGCATCCCATCTAGCTCCTGAAATGGGAACTTTAGTCCGGCCTCCAGTTGCTCTTGCACCCACAAGTCCTCTTGCTGCCGCGCCCGGATCCTTTCAGCCAGAGTCGAAGGGGGCCCTGTTGCGCCGGTGGACGCAAAGTTTTCTGGGCGCAAAATGCAGGACTCAGAGGAATCTTCCTGGCCCCGAGTATACTCCGGCTTGCGCGACAAAGCATCTGCTTGTTTGTTTTGGGCCGCCGGCACGTAGCAAATTCGGAAGTTGAATCTCTCAAAAAACAATGCCCAACGCTGCTGTCGTTGGTTTAACTTCCGGGACGTACGGAGATATTCCAGATTGCGATGATCCGTATGGACTTCCACTGGTTGCAGAGCACCCTCTAGCCAATGTCTCCAAGTCTCAAACGCCGACTTGATGGCTAGGAGTTCTTTTTCCCAAATGGTGTAGTTCCGTTCTGGGGCAGTCAACTGTCGAGAAAAGTATGCACAGGGCTGGAGATGATCCCCCGCAGGTTGTAGCAACACTGCCCCGACCGCCACATCCGACGCGTCGGCCTGCACCACAAAGAGCTTAGTTGGATCAGGATGTTGCAGGATAGGCTGAGAAGTGAAAAGCTTCTTGAGCTGCTGAAAGCCTTTTTCAGCCGCCTCAGTCCATAGGAACGGCCGTTTGCCTCTCAGGCATTGGGTAATGGGGTCCGCCCAGCGGGCAAAGTCTGGGATGAACTTGCGATAGTAATTGGCAAAACCCATGAATCTTTGGATGTCCTTTCTGCTCATGGGGGACTTCCATTCTAACACCGCGGAGACTTTAGTGGGGTCCATGGAAATTCCCTCCGCAGAGATGCGGTGTCCCAGAAAGTCTACTTCATCTAAATCGAAGGCGCACTTTTCCAGCTTAGCGTAAAGTCCATGATCCCTCAGGCGCTGGAGCACTGCGCGCACCTGTTGCGCGTGGTCACGTGGATTCGTGGAGTAGATCAGGAAGTCGTCCAGGTAAATGACCAAAAAACGGTCAAAAAGTCGCGGAAGATGTCGTTGACGAAGTGCTGGAACGTGGCCGGAGCGTTACAGAGCCCGAAACTCATGACTCTGTATTCGAAACTTCCGAAGCGGGTCTGGAAGGCTGTCTTCCACTCGTCCCCTTCCCGGATACGCACCAAGTTATAGGCCCCCCTTAGGTCCAATTTGGTGAAAATCCGGGCCCCTCGCAAACGGTCGAGAAGCTCCGGGATGAGGGGGAGCGGATAACGGTTCTTGATCGTGATGTTGTTCAACGCCCGATAGTCATTGCAAAGTCGCAACTCCCCTGACTTTTTCTTGACAAACAAAACTGGGGCCCCAGCCGGCGACTGCGAGGGACGAATGAACCCCTTGCGTAGGTTAGTATCCAGAACTCCCGGAGAGCCGCCAGCTCTGGTTCCGAGAGAGAATACAATCGCCCACGCGGAATCGGGGCGCCCGGGATCAAGTCAATAGCGCAGTCGTACGGACGGTGCGGAGGAAGTCTCTCCGCCTCCTTCTCGCTGAAAACGTCCCAGAAATCTTGGTATTTGGCGGGCAACTTGACCGTGGCTTGTGCGGCAACCTCTGCGGTCCGACACTTCCGCTCCCCGCCGCAATGTTCTTTGCAAAAGGCCGAGGTGAACTGTAATTTTTTCTGAGCCCACCAAATGGTCGGGTTGTGCTTGGCCAGCCATGGAATTCCCAACACCACGGCATGTGGAAGGTCCGTGACCAAAAAGGAGACCTCTTCCACATGGTCCCCGACTTTCATCTGCACGGGCGCTGTATAGCGAGCCACCGGCCCGGCTTTCAGCAATCGCCCATCAAAGTTTTGTACATCCCGGGGAGGCTGGAGGTCTAAACATTGTAATCCAAGGAACTCCACAAACCGACTGTCCATGAAATTGTTAGTGGCCCCACAGTCGACCAACGCGTGCACCGCCGTGGGAGTCTTTTGGGCTACACAAAACGAAACCAAGAGAAAAAACAGCAACCCAGTCGCGGGCTCTGGGAACGGGGTGGAGACCGAGTTTGCGAGCCCAGCTAAACTCGGTCGTTGCCTTCCCCCGCCGGCTGTTCGGCCCACTGCTCACCAGATATCTGGGCCTGGGACGCCATGGGCTCCACTGAGCCGGAGACCCCTGCCAGGCGGGGACTTGTCTTCTTCTTTACTGGACACTCCCGAGAGAAATGTCCGCTGCCCCCACAATACCAACATAGATTTAGCCGTTGCCGTCGCGCCTTTTCCGCTGCATCAATTTTGGGGCGCATGGAGCCCAGCTGCATGGGTTCCTCTGCATCGGGCGCAAGAGATGGCGGCGGTCCCAAGCGACGTGGCACTCCCGCATCGGCCCCCTTTTGACCAACTGGCCGGGGCCCGGCAAGGATGTGACGTTGGTTGGTCAGGGTCCCATCTATCCGGATACATAGGGTCATCAATTCTTCCAAGTCGGCTGGGACAGCGGAACGGGCCACCTCCAACTGCATCTCCCGGGTGAGCCCCGCCTTGAAGGCGCTCATGTAGGTGGCATCATTCCAAGCCAGCTCCTGCTGCAATACACGAAACTCCGAGATGTACTGGGCCAAACACCCCTCTCTTTGCGTTAGGGCTCGCAGCTTACGATCCGCCATCTCCCGGTGCACTTGGCCTCCCCAGACTTTGTGCAGTTCATCCATGAAAGCCTTGACAGTGTTGCACACAGGGGAAGCGGCCTCATGTAGCGCGGTGGCCCAGGAGAGGGCCGGGCCCTCCAACAGACTGTAGGCAAAGCCCACCTTGGCTGCTTCATTCGGGAACTCCGCTGCCCGCACTGTGAGGTAGGCATCACACTGCCCCAGGAAGTCCTTGACCCGTTGACTGTCTCCAGAGAACTTGTTAGGCAACGCCATAGGAGTCCTTAGCGGCTGGGCCGGAGGGTTAGCTGCTCCTTGCGCTTGCATCGTGGCTATCTGCTGCTGAAGGTTCTGCAGCTGCTGTTGCATCGCCTGAGCCTCTGCAGGATTCATGGTGGCTGGGAGAAGCAAGGACTTTGTTGGTGGTCAGTTTCAAACTGTTGTATCTCAGGCTAAGATTCACCTTGCTCTCTCTGACAAATCAGCCAAACTTGTGAGGAAGGAAGTTTAATGAGGATTTTCAAACAAATCAGAGTATAAGCAGTAAAAAGATCAGTAGTACAAGGTAAAAGTCCAATATAAT